TATTATGTTAGAATTTAATGATTATATTAATTATATTTTAGATTTTTATATTTAAAATGAGATGTTTATTTTGTATTTGATTGTGTTTATCTACATTTAGTTACATGAATTCAGATATGTAAAGGTTTAAAAGTTTTTAAGAGTTTTATAAAGTTTTAGCCAAATATTTTATAAGATAGTATAGATATAAATATAGATAATGATGTTTGTATGCCCAACAAAACATAAAAGCGATTCAGAGCTGGTCTACTAGGGTTTACCGCAAAACCCTCCGACGTAATGAAAGCTTTAAGCTCGACGCAGGTTTTGCAAGAGAATCACACCACTGATCCTGATGCCGTTATATCTCTTACTTTCACCCACAGAGCTCTATCCGATGTATAGACACTTGAATCAACACCACGATTTGCTTCATTTCCTTCCATTTGTTGTTTACTTTTTTCCTTCAATTTCTACTCAGGTTTCCTGCTTGGCTCAATTCAAGAAATTGGAGAGATTGGACCTCACCTTCAACAATTTGTCGTCTCTTGAGGTGATTTGTAGTCATTTGAACAAGTACTCATCTATGGAAAAAAGAAGGCTACGTGTTTGAAACCTAAAACTTGATTTTGGTTTCTATATTTCTGAGGGGAAGTTAAATAATTACGTTATTAATGTAAACGGAATCTTACCAATTGTTAAAATTTTGGTGCTTAATATTTTACAACGGTTTTCTTTCTTAATTACGAACTTGCAAGACACTAAGTTCGATCTCATTTGCTTCTTTTGTAAAGGTAATCAACATCCGTAACATGGATTTCCTGTGATTGATAAACCAGGGTCTGAAGCCATGCTTGAATTTGAAGTGGTTATCAGTTAAGCAGAACAAGCTTCGAAGCTTAAAAGGTGTTGAAGGACTTGCTTGTCTAACTGTGAGTAATAAGTTGCATTTGTTTCAATTTTCTGCCAATCAAAGTGTGATGCAGAAAGAAAAGAAAATGTACATTCAGAACTTGAAGATCGATTTGTTAAGGTTAAGATTTCACCAAAGTACGTGAGCATATAATAATAGTGAAAATGGACTATTTGCAGGCCCTGTCCATTTGTGTAATCTGCTGTCTCTCAATCTGCACCATGCCATCTATGAAGTTGATTTCTTGGAGTTCTCAAATGCACATGGGTCTCGTTCTCTAATTTTACTTATGTTAACACAAATGTGCATGGCTGCTAATAGTCCATTTCCCATATCAATATATCAAAAATACATATCATGAAATGATGGATCTAATTTAAAAAATAATTGAAATTAAGAGAACAATGCTTACCTTGCTGGAGCACCATAAGAATCTCAATGAGTTGGAGGGTTGATCAAGGTGAGTGTGAGAGTTTGTTGCATAACTGTTTTCTCTGAGTCCATGTCCTCCATCATGGCACGAAGCTGAGTGATGCAATAAGATTTGACCACCCCTATTTTTTCACCAGTTGTTTTATTTTACTTGGTCCTTTTCGATATCCTGACTATCATGGAAAGTAGTAGGGTTGTAGGGGATTCCTTGCTAGGATGAAACTGCACGACAGACTCAGCAGCAATAACATATCTATTAGTAACCAATTCAACTAATTTGACAGGCACCAAATCATGTAAACTCTTACACATTAAATATAGCGAAGAAAGATGCATTTCTTGGACAGTGAAACCTAGGCTCAAGCTTCCCCTCATTAAAATTTGCATATGCAGGACAGTTGAGTAACCTAAGAGAAGAATGATCAGCAAGCTTACCTAACCATATTTACTAGAGTGCCTTGCACCCTATCGACATGCTAGGTGAATAATGAACAAGTCGGCTGCCTCTGCTAGAACTCTTTGTCTAACTGAAAATTCGACAAAAAATACACATGCGCTACTCTAACACAGTTATTCTCATATGTTCTACAACTCCGATCTACTGTGCTGTATCCACTATAGTATGATGCCTCATATGATGCTGCTGTTCTTGCACCATATTAACTCATCCTATCCAACCCTTTATATATTCACAACCTATTTATCTTCTTTCATGCTTGCTTGAGTTACTTCTTAATCAAAGCCACTGTCTGTTTAAAAATCATTGTAAACTTTCTCTAAATGGGTCAATGAAACAATATTTTTGTTACAGTTAGGTGTCTCCATCTGAAACTATTAATTTATCAATAGATGGTTGAAATGCAAAAATTCTTCCCCTAAAATATGGATTACATTACCTCGAGTAATGCCTTTGTACCACAAGCACATTATTCTAATCTATCCAGTACCTTCACAAAATATGATCCCTACAATACTGTTTATACCACCCTAGCTGATTCCCCAGTTACCAGAAGGTCTATAATTCTAACCAGGTACATTCAGAATCATGTGGCCACTGCTATCAGCAAAAATTATCTTTCAATGTTTTGACTTTGCTATATATATATATATATATTATGAACAAGGTACTTAATGCTGGCAGCAACATGCTCCAATCAATGGAGGAGGTCAAGAGTCTTGTGAGGCTACGTGCACTAATCTTGAATGGTAACATGTCTTTGATTAGTCTATGCCTTAACTTCCTGATATGCTGTTTGGGTGCACTCTATCCTATATGAGACTAACACAATACTTTCTTTTTGGCAGACAATGAGATTGTTTCAATTTGCAGAACTGATCAGATGAAAGAATTAAATACCCTAGGTATGAGATTTGAACTGGATTACACAGTATATGCACATATAAAATCTTTTAAGGAATTAAACAGGGTTTCTCACCATGCTTATCATGCCCTAACACTCTTTTACAAAACGACACGTAGTTTTGTACCAGCAAATCCAAATCGATCAATGTTGCAAACTCATCTTTGTTGAAACCACAGAAGAATAAAGGGAATATTGGAAACGTGATCTCAAATCTTACAAAAGCAAAGTTGGGGACCTATTTGAGTGTACTGGGAAGAAAGGATAAGAAAGGGAAAGGGAGGAAGAATACCTACCCTCACTAAACATTAGCTATACTTGGTAACTTAATCGTAAGCACTGCAGTTAGATCCAACATATATTAGGATACTACTAGCTTTATAAGAAATGGTCTTCTTATTTGATGAGAACATATGTCCTATTGACTTTTGAGCAGTCTTGCAGATTCCTTCCTAGTAGCAGCTTTTAAGTATTTATTGAAGTTTACAGTTGTCTCTTAATTATTTGCAGAATTACTTCCATGATGTTATAGTGCCTTTGTCATGTTGCATTAGTACCACATACTTGGAGGTAGTTAATCCTTTAGTGTTACTATTTAATAAGCTTATAAGGTAGAAGTGAAGAGTAGTGACAGATTAGAGCCTATAGAATCAATGTTACATCTCACATTTGCGCTATCAGGTAACAGCTAGCTTATTAGCTAGTTTGCCAAACATAGCATAAGTATTTGGCCCTCAAGATCATTTATCTTTTGTTTGACTGATATAATACAGGGATATACCAACAAAGGTAACACAAAACATAATCCAAGACCTGATCCCATTTTCTGGCTTCTATCTCGACATATGCTGCTTCTATTCTTTTCTACTTTGTTTCTACTTGTGTGATGGTCACTGCTTTTTATTGCCTGTTTTTCATTTGTTCTTGGTGGGGTAATGATTTTATTGCTTAACCTTGTTGTGAATGTGGTTTATGACATTCGTTACTAGTTAATGATTTTAGGATATGATTATGTCAATGCAAAGCGGTTCTATTATGATTTACTACTCCTTCTAAAATAATCTTCCACTTCTGTGATCTATTTTTGGACAAAATGGCACGAAAATGCAACATACTTTCATTTCATTCCTATTTTGGGTAACTTGCTTTCAAAACCTCTATTTGGGTATTGAAATGTGATATTTCAAACATATAGGTACCCTGAGTTATCTATAGGTAACCGGTCAACCAAGATGATGTGTATTTAAAAAATGACGTGGAACAAAGGTATGATATGGAAAATAAAACATTAATATTTTTATAAAAACTGTTCATTCCCCTACCCATGGTTTTTAAAATCATTCGAGGCGTACTTCTCGAGGCAAGGCGGTGGGATTCCGAACATGGGGCGCCGCCTCAAATGAACTGAATGGAACATAAGCCTCAGGCAGGATGAGGCGGGCCTTGAGGCGCCCGAGGCGGTGAATTAGGCGGGGATGAGGCGTGTTTTCTAAACTAGGGTTTAGAAATTGACTTAGGGTTAAATTAACCTACTTTATCCCTCTGTTCGTGCCCCCTCCTCTAGTTGTGGTTTGCTGCTCTTTCTCTCTGTTTCTACCATGTTGTTGCAGATTGAAGAGGAATAGCCAGACTTTTCGTTTTCATATTGGAGGTTTTTTTAAGTGTGATTTTAATTCTCTTTTTTGACAAGTGTGACTTTAATTCTCTTTTTATTGACAAATGTGCGACTTTAATTCTCTCTATGGATAAAATGTGACTTTAATTCTCGCTATTGATAAATATTAACCTTAATTCTTTTTTGATATGTGTGATTATAATTACTTGTTAACAAAATATAAATAATAAAATCTCTATATATTAGTTACATATATTAAAAATTGAGACTATTAATGATTTTTAAAAAATATTATTGTTACATATATACAAATATTTTTATTTATTTTTAGTTTCCGCCTCAAGGCTTATGCCTCACCACCTTGGGGCTTTAGGCCTTGGGTTGTGGAGGGAAAACGCCTATAGGCCCGATTCTGCCTTTTAAAACCTTGTCCCCACACCCATCAGTTCTTTTCGTCCCTTCCTTATCCTAACAAGCATCTGCTGGCAGTTCGAAGATGCTTACCAAAAAATCACGCCATTGATTCATCCATCTCCACCAGATTCATTTGAAAATTCAAGAGACTCTTCTCGTTGCATCACTACCATACAGCTAGTGAGACACCCAGAAGCTTCTTCATCAAAAAACCAGTTTGGTTTTAGATTCTTTCGAAGACACCTTACAGCAATTTTTAGATCTATCTTGCTCAAATCGTTTTTCTTTTATGGTCTGTACTTGTTTTATGTTTGGACCAGGTTCTGTTTCTAGTTCTTGGGATTTGCGTTTGCCTTGCTTCGTCTGGCATTGTTTATGTGTTGATTTGTGGGTTTTGGGCTTTTTTAGATTGACGTTGTGATTTTTATGTGTATCTGTTCGTGTGTTCTAGTTGTATGGGTGTAAATGTATAAATCTGGTTTATATCTTTTGTTTCCTCTTTTAACTTTGAAGCTAAAGTTGAAGAATGTGGGGTGCTGGTGGTTTAGGTGTTGCTGTCATTAACTTGTTGTGCATCCCAATATTTCTTGATGTTCTCAATGAACATGACGCAGAAAGTAATGTCTCTTGGTGATGGGAGGATGATACGATGGATGAAATCTAAATTTGGAGCCGCAGCTAGTATAATGAAGATAGAAAAACATCATTAGAATCTTTACAAACTTTTTATTAAATCTATTTGTCAATAAAAAATTACTACAGAATTTTTAAATCTTGAAGGGTATAAGTTTTATAACCTTTAAAAAATAACTACTTGAAATCTATTTGCATGGTTGAAAAGATATTACAAATTTTACGATAAAAAAGTTTTGGAAATATTTTGCTTAATTAAAAAAATATTACAAATTTTAAATTAAAAAATAATGATGTGGTTTTTTTTTGCTTAGTTGGCATTTAAAAATCAGAAAATTAATGCCACATCAGCAAAAACCTGATCCTAGTCAGCAATTCTAGGCAATTAGGTAAGCTAGGTACCACAATGTTTAAAATGTCACATCTTAGGTATGACAATGAAGGTTTCGATAGTATGTTACCTAAAATAGGAATCATACTAAAGTTGGTTGCTATATTTCTGCATCTTACCCTGTATTGTTTTGGAAAATTGTGCATATTTGCCACAGTACTCTGGTTCATTTTAAGCTAGGGCCATGCTTTCATCATATGCCATGACTAGTATGATTTAAATTCATGTGTTAACAGTTTTATGGTCTTTATCTGAGGAACGAGGGGCAAGTCCTTTCATATGATATCTTGGATTTACCAGAATATGATCCCAGCCTGATTGCTGCTTGTGTGCCTTGCAGTACTTTCAAGGAATCCAATTCGTAAAATTGGTGAAAATCTAAGCAAGGCTAATTCGATCACAAAAGTAAGCAGCCTTAAACAATTTCAATCAAATGTTCCAGGAATCAGTTGTTGAGTGTTGATTTATTTTCTCGTTAATATTAATGCATTTGACTTTGACGCTAGCTGTCTCTTTCGAACTGCAAAATTGAATGCATTGGTTCTTCAATCAAGTCCTGCACAGAACTAAGAGAGCTCAGGCTTGCTCACAATGAGATAAGGGTATAATGTGATTCTGCTGTCATTTTGCACTTTCCTAATGTAGTATCTATATTACTTACTGTCACGTGTTTATTACTCATTGGTAATGGAACACTGTTTCCGTTTTTTTTATATTGATTTTCTTGTTTGATCAATACGTCAGACTCTCCCAAGTGAGTTAGCTCGAAGTACAAAAATCCAAAATTTGGATTTGGGAAACAATCTGATCATGAGGTGGTCAGATCTCAAGGTTAGCTAATTAATGGAAGCTTTTATTTTTTATTTTTTATTTTAATGTCAGCTATTGGCTCTATTTTTTTTACTTGTGAGCTTATGGGTTCATTCTGGAATTCCAGATACTTTCTTCATTGGCAAACCTGAAGAACCTGAACCTAGTTGGGAACCCGGTTGCTGAGAAGGATGTATTATCAAAGAAGGTGAGTTGTAGTTTCATTATGAGCATCGCATCCTTTTATAACCTGATGGAAGCACTTGTTTTGAGATTGAAAAGGACAATTCATGGTATACATGAAATTTTGTCATACTTTTATATAATAAACATAAGCAAAATAGATAAACCGATTACTATACTTTCATACATCTTTCAATTACATATCCGGATAAAAAGGTTTATCTATCACATACTTGTACTCTCATAATCCTATCCTTTATTTTATTAGCGTCCAATTTTAAGCAAATCACCTAACATCATGGTCAATTTGGGAGAGAAGAGGACGGGAAAAATAATTTGATGGAGAAAATGTTAATCATCGTAACTGTTACTAATGGCTTGGCTAACATGATTAAACTCGAAGATGCAACTGATATGATTATGAGAGTACAAATATACCATTGATATATCTTTTATGTAATTGAAGAAAATATTTTTATTTATTTTGCCTATAAATTCTATTGCTATTTGGATATATAGGAAGACTTCTTTTTTTCTTTTTAAGGGTGGGGTGGGGGTGATGCCTTAACCTAATACCAAAAATCATTGGGTTGGGGGAATTTTGTGCATAACCGATGACGTTCTCTTCTTTCCTCAGATTACATAAAATCTAGTTCTTATTTTTGCAGCAGTAGTAATATAGTTTCTTATTGTGCTGCCTCATTTGAATAGGAGAAGACAGTTGGAAGAAGTAAAAAATAAGATGCTGAAGGCATATAATAATCATTTCATGCATTCTGCAATTTCTTTGTAAGAGGGGACATCATTGCAATTGCCTAATAAAACCCAAACTAACACACAGAGGTAAAGTCTGGGGGTTAGGATCTATGCAAAAACAGGTGAGCATGCTATAGATGAGAGGTGTGCAAAGAAGCAATGGAAAAGGCCTTTGGGAGGTCAGGGGCTCAAAGGTGGGGAGGCTTATTTGTTGCATTTGCCATAATTAAATTATATGCTTCAAGAAAATGCATCAGGGATATATACGAGTGCTACATAAAAAGATGGGGTCTATTTTCTTCTGTATATGTGTTATTTTGCAGTTGCTGTTTTCCAAAAATACAAGAGTTGATAAACATGCTACTAATGCAGATAAAGAAGCTGGTGCCAAGCATACAGATATTCAATGCAAAGCCAATTGATAAAGTCACAAAGAATGTGATTGATGATAACCCTTCAACTAATGCTTCTGTGGATATTGCTATGAAAAAAGAAAAGACGAAGAAGCCTAAGCTGAATAACAAAAATGCTTCAGATGATGAGGAAAATACACATTCAACGGACCCTAATTCAGAGAAGAAATCAAAGCGCAAATCAAGGGACTTGAAGGACGGATTCGTCACAGAGAAGGAAACAATAAAAAGGTCAAAGAAAGCAATACATGATGAAGAAACTGTGCATCTTGAAAACAACGAAAATAGAAACGAAAAGAGGGAAGAAGGTGATACCATCGAAAAGAAGAAAAAGAGGGTTAAGAGCAAAGCCAGAGGTTCTTCTGCTGTGCAGTTGCTGAGCCCAGAGGCCGAATTTGGGTTAGGCGGGCCCTCGGCATGGGATCTGGAATAGCTGTTATCATTGGTTTTTGAATTTTGATTTGCAGCAACTTTGGGGAGAATCTTGACAAGATAAACAGCAGTTAGGATCCCTGATGAAACTTGTGTTTTGCAGGTTGGTTTAAATGTTTGATTGAAGCCGGGGTTTTCTCAGAAACAGTCTCTACCTTTTAGGATAGAAGAAACGTCTGCATATATAGATGCCCCTCACATCTGCATGGAATTTATGGGTTTGTTTAATTTTGTTTGTTTTTTTTTAAATCTTTGATTGAAGCATGTTCTTTGTTTTTCATGCCACAAGTTGCAACGTTACTTTGTTCTTTAACGAATCTTATGCTACCTTTTTGGCAATCAATATTGTTCCATCTTAGTTGTAGACTTGTTTTATTTTCAACCTATTTCTTTACTTTTTCCATGTGATGTTTAGGTTTGTTAGTTATTAATAAACCGTAGTATTGACAATTCGAATATCGTGTTTCTTTGCTAGCATCTCTAAAGTGGTCCCTATTTTTCAAGTTTTGAACGGTTAAAAAAAAAGACAGGTCAAGGACCGGATGTTCGGTTCGGCAAAGGACTGAATCGAGTTTGGTTAAAGCTTGGTCAACACCACAATGGCTATATTTGACGTTCTGGTTGTTTGTATTGCTTCCCTGAAGCAACAAAATATATGCAGATGTTTGGATTACTGTGTGGAAGTGAAATAAAGATTTTCTTTTTAAAGAAAATTCAGGTCTTGTAAGTATGGCTTTGTGGATTATAGAGGCCGGGCTCAAGATGACCAAACCATAAGAGCTTAGCGTACCTCAAATCTCTTTACAACTGTTATACAGTTAAGCCCTTTATTTTTATCGATGATTTAGATATATAACCTTAAATGAGATTTTGATTATGTTCTTGTTGATAACAACATACGGGCTGGTGCACCTTTACACTTTTTATAAATAATAATAATAAGTTATATGCTATATTAAAATAAATTCTAAAATGATATGAAAAAAGGTTTTATGATTATTCCTTTTAAACTTATTATTGTAATTTAAAACTTATTTACTAATGAGTATGTTACCATTTATTTATATATCAAAAAATAATTTATAATTTAACACATTAATAAAAACGTTTTACTTTACGAAAAATGAAAAAAAGATGACATGATTTTGAATGTAATCGGTATGTTTCAAAATTTTATCATGTTCTAATACTAAATTAACTTGGACACAAAATCCAAAGTTCAATAAAATGATGATAGATAATCTCTTCAGACCATCTACTAGCTAGATTCAACTTAACGCAAAATATTCGTACACAACTCAAACACTAGTTTAGAGGACTCAAATTCAATATCATCACAATCCAATGGCTGATACAAGATGCTACTGTCATCTTTCTCAAAATTTTGGCATGGACAGATTTATAATCGCAACTCTCTTTGAATGATTTCCATACTAGCTTCCGCCATTAAAAATATGATTCATACTCGAACCATTTTTATTTGCTCAAACAATTGAAAGGTACACCATAAAGTGCTCTTCGGATAGGTTACATCAAATAATAGAAGAACTAATGAACTGTTATAACCATTGCTACACAAGTAGACACAATGCCGGCCTTCTGTAAAAGAGGGTATACCGTCAACTTTTTATTGTACCGGTCTCACAACCATCATGGTGAAGTAAATTATGTGTCTAAGGAGCAGGTGGGTGGTATCTGGAGTCGAACCCCAGACCAGACCTCCATTTGTTATGCAAGGATGTGCCAATTTTTACTCGCTAGGCTTGAACACAATGTCAGCCTTGCTAACATCTTGCTGCCTTCAAAAACTTTTCAAATGGGCATGAAGATGGTAACCTGAAAGATTCTTGTTGTCCATACTCACTTGAAAAAGAAAGTGAGGTCGTTTACCAAACACTTATTACCGGTAAAATTTAACACTAATATTTACTTACCGGGTAAGATTGTTGGTCCTTACCGTATCCATCCAGTAATATAATATGACTTGGTAAGCACTTACCCACCCCTAAGATGATATCAACCGATTTAAGATGAAGCAATACATCACGAAACATTATCCTTGAAAACTGTACAAAACTTTTTACAAAGGGTGGGTTGGGTTTTATTTATATTTTACCATTTGGTGTTTATAGTGCCAAAATAGTGAATTATACAGTTGTACTAACCGGTAAGAAGCACCTAAGCTTAATAAAATTTTGGTATATTTAACAGGAAGTTGCAAGTATAAAACATAACAAGAAAGATGAGAAACTGCGATCCTTACACTAAATTGAAGTTATTAACTTGGGCTTCAGACAGTTTCTTCTGTTTACCCTTGACAAGAGCCTCCTCACACTGATTTTTCATTTGATCACAAGGCACTGGTGTATGTAGAGGTATTTGGCATGCTTTCAACATCATGGCCCGTTTCCACTACCTGTTAAGAGATGATTCGAACTATGATTTTAAAAATTTATATTTTTCCTTTCTGAAACATCAAGCGAGTAATTTTTATTGGGGAAGAAAATAAATTTATATTTCTTGAGGATATTACATGGAATGAAGGGTTGATGTGAGAATTGCAAATAATTTGAGTACCAAATAATTAATTTCATAATGTGTATTCATTGATAAATATACACTATATAAATTTCATCAAAATATATGTAACATCCTCCGTCCACATGGTCCGGAACACGGATGGTGTCACTAACGAGACTTAATACAAAGACATAAATATTTCAGAGCTACAAATAAACTCCAAACATAGATCACAACTTTCTAAACATGCTTTATAATCCAAAATATTACATTACAAAAAAACAAGTTTGAAAACTCCCAAAAATAGTACTCTCGATCTCAAGTCTCGCCCTATCGGTCACTTGGAACCTGCCGTGTCAGAAAACAAGGACGCAACTGAGCTCAGTGAACAAATTATAATATGAAATTCGAAATAACAATAGGTAACACTGATAATAAAGCAGAAGACATACAATTCAATTAAGCTAATTTCAGAAAAATCAAGACAGTTCACAATTCTTGCTTCAAAACATAATTTAAACAAAAGTCCGTCAATTCCTATAGTATTCATAGGGTGGCCAAACCACACGAACTATCGGGCTGGCATGCGGACACACACCCTAAGTCCCCCGTAAATTTAACCACGGTCACATAGTGAGTAATCTTAGGATCGATCCATCCGCCTTGGAGCCAATAAAACCGGCCTAGTCCACAAGGTGGTTTCACGTAAGCCACTATTGAGTCTAACTCTGTGGACCGAGTTCACCTGCAGGATGCCATGACTACAAAGCCGCCAAAGAAGGCATCCCAACTAATGTGCCCATCAATTTGGTGATATTGAAAACTAAACATGCGCTACTACCCGGATGACTTTCATAAAACGTCAAGTTTCAATATACTTCATAAAATTCAAAACTACTTCAAATATGAAAATCAATAGACAAAACTCAAGTGTTAAAAATAAAGGTTCAGCGATTTATATATATATAAGTATATATTTTGTTGACCACTTTTAAGTGATCAATCACCAGGCGGTGAACCACCGTTACGAAGGGTCAACTACAACAACTATTTGCCCAATAATTAAAAGAAGTGAAATCCGTTCCTTAACCGAAATTGAGAAGTAACGCAAGATCAACGAGATTCACGGTTAAGTTGACTTTGTTGCGTGCTTAACGAATGCATAAATCGATTATTACTTAAACGACGTAAAACCATATCATAACTAATAAGTTACTTACGTCCTACATGTTAATAACCAACTTAGAATTCAAGAGGGACAACCGGATATGCATTGAGAAATCGACTCAATACTTAGCTTTATGCAGTTGCGTTCCCGACTTTTAACAACTTCTATCCCTCATTTTCATGATCATTTTCCCTCCACTTAGAGGTCAATACAAAAAATAATATATAAATGGAAGTTGTAGTATGGTATCTTATGAATGTACTAGTTTTGTGATCATCTCATTTGGATCATTCATCTATTTTAGACGAATTTTACAAAATTGCAGTAAAATCCCATGTATAGTGTAAATAGCCTCAAAACGACACTCTTTTGAGACCCTTAGAGCCACAACTGAGTTTTCGACCCCCATGAAAATTGTAACATACATTAAAGTCTTTCTAGCTGCAAAATATGATTTTTTTTTCAACGTACGGTTTGTGATCTACGCACTGTCAAAGTTGGACCTGTACAGTCGGTAAAATTCGATTCACTTTTTTTTTTCCAACTGCTTTGCTACATTTAAGTGCTCTAAAACATACCTCAACATACTAAAAAGTAAAACAAAGTCCAATAATTGCTAACCTAAGCTTAGTCATGCAATTTTACTCTTTTCGACATTTAATCGAACACTTGGTCTGCGGTTAATTATATACACCAAATCTAACTATATTGATTCCATACTTTATCATTTTATTTTTTATTCAATTTTAACCAATCCTAGCATTTTAAACATGAAATACTGATAAATATGCTATTTTAGTCAATAATGACTTCAAAAACAGTTTTATTTCAGAAACTTTATGTCAAGAACTTTCGCAATTCCAAATCCATATCCCATGTTATCTCAAAACAGTTTTACCTTTCTCAATAGTTTTGAATGCAATAGTACCTTCCTCAATTTAAAATAGCTTTTGAAAGAAACAAATTGGGCAATAACAACCCTCATCGGACAATACTTGACCGGTGACTGCCCTTCATCGGACAACACATGGGGGATGAACTGCCCTCATCGGTCAACACTCATCAGACAACACTTCACCGGACAACACTCACCGTATAATACTTGGGCAATAAAACACCCTCAATGGTCAATACTATGATCATTGAACATCCTCACCGGTCAACACTATGACTGATAACATCCTCATCGGTCAACACCTAAATAATAAATATTCAATCCGAGCAAATCTTTGTCCGATAAACATTCTCAATGGACAAAGCATTGGGCGATGAATCACCCAATCCGATCAACAATTGAAATCATAACTTAGTCCGGTTAATACTTGGGTGATAAGATGCCCAATCCGGACAACACCTTGTCCAATAAAGGTCCTCACCGGACAACACTTGTGCGATAAGGGTCCCTCATCGGACAACACAGTGTCCTATAAGAGTCCTTATCGGACCATGCATTTGAACAAAAGATATATACGTACAACAAAAACTGATCTTAACTATCAACATGTAGAACAAAATATGATAAAAAACATCAAATTCAGATGCAAGTATTTTGAAAACTCACGTTATGAAGCAAAGAATTTGAAGATGAAATCACACAAAATCAGCAAATTCCCACAACTTCTTAACACAAGAAAATAATCTCTCATTTCCTTC